GATTCAACTTTTTTTTCTGCTCTAACTATCCAGAATTTCCAGCTATGCGTCCAAAAACTGGGAGTGCTGATCGAGGATTCCGACCAAAATCTCAAGTATCTTGGGTTGCTGGCAATGGGCAAGATTCTACAAACTCATCCAAAAGCTGTACAGGCTCATAAGGATATAGTGCTGAGATGCTTGGACGATAAAGATGAGAGCATACGACTGAGGTAATGTGTCACGGTCTCTCATTTCGTTATTGAAATTCCTTGGCGCTGCTCGGCTTGGGAGGGACATTTTGCTCTTTCGCTAGTCCCTTTTGCTAATCCGTCAACTAACAGGTTATACTCTAGCGAGACCTGTAAGCTCCTATGAAGCTACAAAGTGTGCGAGTATGAACCACTGCGATGACAAGAATTGCTAGGTTTTTAGTCGCCTTAGCTAGCTTTGTTAAGCACAACTTGGTGCCTCCTCAAAGCCGATTTGCGTCGAATTTCTACTTGAATTGTGTAAAGCTCAATTAATTATGTGCACAGCTAAAATTGGCCCTAGTTGGACTTCAGTTCGTAATTGCAGGTCTTTGGATTTGCTTTACGGTATGGTGTCCAAGAAGAACATCATGGAAATCGTGAAGAAACTCATGGAGCATGTGGAATCTGCAGAAGGATCTCATTACAGGTTTCAGTGATTTTTCTATTCCCGTTGCTCTCACTTCATTCGACTGTGTTCAGGGACGAGTTATTGTCGCGCATAATTGGCATTTGTTGCTATAATAACTACCAGTTCATTACTAACTTCGAATGGTGAGTCTTTTTGTATACATTATTTGGTTTTGGCTTGTTGGAGGGCTGCTGAAAGTTTGTGAGGAGATCCTCCCTTGTCGTTTTAATTTGTAGCTCAGGTTCTACTTGTTGAGTTTGTTGTCGCGCAATCCGAACGCTAGAGCGATCAGATTGCGCCATCCAAGCGGCTAGATCGCGAAGTATGAATGCGCTTCAAACCATAGCAAAGCTTTATATTAGCCAGTGGCTGACGAGGGTTTTTGCGACTTGGAAATTGGCTTTGGTTTCTCTCGTTGGGTTTTGGGATTGATTCATTGCTGTCTATTTCACTTTCATGTTTTTATAATTTCTTAATTTATAACTATATTTTTTAACAGGAAGCACATTCAGGTATATCTCGGTGTTGGTGGAGTTGACGAAAGTGGAAGGAACGAAGCATGGAGCGAAGATCGCAGAGCAGGTAGTGTTTCCCTTTCCAGATGATTCTAGGTCAGGGTCATAGTTATGGTAGCTAGCTCACTATAAGTGAGGCTTGATTTACATATTATGCTCGAAAGGCTTTGTTGCCTCGTGTTACGTGATTTGATTCCAAATCCTTGTGAAGAAACTTGTACAAGCTTCCCGTTGTGCTTCCAGCGAGGGACTTTCATTGCTCAATTTGTACTTTGTCTCGAGTAAAAAGTTCTGCGTCGCGTGACTTTCGTGTTTTGAAAGCAACATGTGGGGAGCAGGGCATAACGTACGTTGGAATCCCCAGCTACGGGGAGGGTCGTATAGAATGCTCCGGATTGTTGTCTTTTCTTGGTATTTCCTGCTTCAGGCGCGATGTCCGACCGTCCCCGGCCGCCCCCTCCCTCAGCGGCAGTTTTTTTTTTCGGAGATAATGGAAAAAAAACTGTGGAAAATGGAAAAGCTGGTAGAAGGTTGGGAGAATTTAGGAATGTATGGTTTGCAGGATGGCTGAAGAGGAAGAGAGGCGGGAGTTTGTATAGAAGGGGGAAATATTGTGGAGGGGGTCTCTTATTCATTTCCCCAAGGGCAAGACGAACCCTTGTTGTTAATGACTCTGCTGGCTAAGTGTTTTGTTATGTCATTTCCAGAACTGAGAAAGCCTCGATTCTTATTTTATTATAGTCGATGGCTCCATATGACCTTTACGACCTCACACCTGGGCTGAATGGTTATCAACATATGTTCCCATAAGCTGTTTTAGCGTCAGATCGGAGCGACATTCTTGCTAGGGGGTCAAGCTAACCCCCAAGGGCGACTTTCCGACCGAATTTTACTGTACTACCACCTTGTTGGTAGGTTCCGAAAACCCAAAAAATGCAAAAGTCCAAAAAAAATCAGACTTAGTGAGAGTGGTCGATGTGGCGGTTTTCAATCTGTTT